GTTTATAGTATTGAATTATTTTCTTTTAACAAATTATGTTGATTTAAATTTCATAAATTAAATGTTTAAGCTTTCCGCTAAGGGTAAGGTTAATTCTATTAAGTCAACGGCTAAAGTATAGTTAATCTAGTGATGTTCCGATCCATGCGGGTCGGGGCGTTACAAAAGGCCTGACCTAAAATATCTTTGGAAGAGTTGGACCAAGAGTAATTGAATCAGAATCACAAACTACTACAGTGGAGGAACTAGAGAGTTTCCCAGTAGACCCTCAGGATGCGTCAAAGGTCTTGCGAATTGGGAAATAACTTGAAGATGGAGCGAAGGAAAAGCGGGTGTCTTCTCATGGAAGCATGGAGACATGATCGAAATAGACCCAAAGGTCAGTTGCCATCATCTTTAGATCGATCTGAGTTGTATACCGCATAGGCAGAAGAGGAGGGTATTGAATGCCAAAAGGTATGAAGCCTTGAAAAAAAAGGCGGAAAAGCTGATCAACAATGGCTTTATCAGAGAGGCTAGATATCCGAAGTAGATTTCAAATCCCGTGCTTGTGGAGAAACACAATGGCAAATGGAGGGTCTGTATTGACTGCTTCAACCTAAATTAGGCCTGCCCGAAGGATAGTTTTCCGCATCCGCGAATAGACCAGTTGGTATACTCAACAGCTGGGCATGAGCTGCTCAGCTTTATAGATGCTTACTCAGGTTACAATCAGATTCCCATGTACCCGGATAATGAAGATAGCACCTCCATCATCACCGACATGGGTTATAAGATGATATCTTTCGAGTTGAAGAATGCAAGGGCCACATATCAAAGGTTGGTCAATAAGATGTTCGCTGATCAACTCGAAATGACGATAGAAGTATATGTTCACGATATGCTTATGAAAAGCGCCAGGCTAGGGAGCATATAGAGCATCTGGAGAAAGCCTTCCAAACACTCAAGAGTATCAGATGAGGCTGAACCCCCTCAAATGTGCTTTCAGCGTGGCTTCCGATAAGTTCATGGGCTACATCGTGAATCAGATGGGCATCGAGGCTAACCCGGAGAAAATCAAGGTTTTGGTTGAAATGAGATCGCCGCATAAGCTCAAGGAAGTGCAATAGCTTACTGGCAGGATTCTTAAAGGGGAGAAAGGTTCCAATGGAC